CTTCGTAACTTCGGCCAGCTGCACCTGCTAGACGGTATGAAGTAGCAGCCAGTTAGCAGTCACACACAAATTTTCGAATGTCCATACAATACGCATTTCCATTTGCACCCCCCTTTACTATGCAGTTCAGTTAGAGATGGACTGTAGCAAAACGAAAATTACATATGTCTAAGATATACTGAAGTCTAAAATCAAAACACCCTCCATATTAGCTCTCTGTGTGAGACGAAGGCATCCAGAAAGTAAACCGAATAGAAACAAAGTACCAAAGCGACCACCCCGAGACAAGGCTGTCGATGATTCGCTGTTGCAAGCCGATGGCGAATTTGTCTCCCCGATATGTGCCGGCACTAATTTAACATCGAAGCGAATGAAGAAACTGTAGTATAATTGGTTTTTCCATTGCCAGTGTCGAACTTTTCCAGAGCAACAGTGCCACTTCGCATTGCGTTGTATCGACCGGCATATAAATTATTACTGGTGAAATTTGTGTATTGGTTTGTCTGTACTGGGGAGTGTGTGCGTGTCATTGTGCCTGGCCAAAAATTGCACATCTGAGAAATATTCGTTTCTAGTGCATGTTCCTGTTCGTTTTGTCATTGTCTTTTTTTTTTCCAGGAGAATTATTTCATTTCAGAAAGAAAGGAAAAAGCAATAGGGAAAGGCTAGTTCATTGAATGGGCAAATTCTGCTGCAAGCGGAGAACAACGGCAAGCTCCGAAAATCTCATCTTTCTTCTACATTACCATTTGCAGAGTTGTGTGAAAGTACGTGCGCGTGCACATTCGAAAGACTACGGATTCCTCCGGCAGTTACTCGATTCTTCATCGATGGGTGGGCATCATCGTGAGCAGAGTGATTCTCACGTCCCGCTGAGGCAGTGTGTCGAGTTTCACCGCTGTGTGCCAAGCGATAGCCGCGGACAAATTCGAATACCTGTGGAAGCTGGAGCAACATCAAATGATATCGAATTAGCAATAGCCAATGGAACGATCAATTCCACTTCAAGCGACTTGCCCATCAATCACATCGACTGCTTTGCAGGACAGCGCCAGCGAAGGGTTTGTTTTGACTGGTTTTTAGTTCGGTTGTTGGCAGAAATGGGCACAGAAAGGCTGCAAAGCAGTGATAAGGCGGTCGGGGTAGAGGTAGAAGCTGAGTCGAGGAGTTGTTGAGCCTTACTTCTCAAGTAAACGCAAAATTGGACTTTAAAATCAGGAAATTATAACGTTGTAGTAGAAATGGAAATCCTCCTGTGTGACGCGCTACGAGAAACTGATGTTTGCTATAGTAAATTCGAAGCAGCAGCAGCAGCAACAGCAGGTGATCAGTTACGTTCTCAACGGCTGGGAGGGAGAAGACGGTGAAGGGCGCCATTTTTTATTATTAGTGGAGGCGGTAAAATTTTTTGCAGCAAAAAGTAGATGATATGGCCCTTTGCTGTTTCGCTTCTGCGTAACTCGTTAAACTTAACCGCTACTCATCTGTTTTGCTTGTCCCAAGTGAGACCTGTTTCTCAGCACTGTTTACAGGCAAGAACTGTTCTTTTGGACTAAGGTAATAACGGCTTTTTTATCCAGTTTGATTGTTTCTTAAAATTTAGCTAGTATTTTGTCACACAGGTGCAGGATTTAGCTGCGTAAGCACAAAATCTAGACAGGAGTTCAAAATTGAGCCACACGATTTAAACAGAAAGTCAGTTCACCTGTGCATTATTTTTTTTTAAGAACCAATATATAATTTGCAAAACGCTGCAAAAAGCCGCATGTTAGAGAGTGGATGGCCAGTTTAGTATCTGTTAATTGGCTTTTGCTGATTTTTTCAGAGCTTTGTGCACCACTAATAATTGTTTTTACTGGCTTGAACAGGTTAGTCACTGCTGAAGTAATACTTTTCGACTATGTAAAATGGAATCTTCATTAGCATTTTTCCAAGAACTGTGCAACTGAACTTACCAATAAATTTTGAAGAATCCTGCAAGCTGAATTCTTCGGATAATGAGGGAAATAATGAGGTTGTAGCCAGATTTACTTTACTGATAGAAACATTGTACTTTTGAAATTTTGATCCCGCGGATGCTGTTTGACGAGTTCAGCTACGGACACGGGGCTTCAGCTTACTCCATATGTATATTTATGTATATGTATGTATATATGTACATATGTATGTATATGTACATATATGTATATATGTGCATACATATGTATGTATGTATGTATCCACAAACATCTTATTCAGGCACATCGTTGTGGTGCAAGAGTGGCAGCTAACTAGGCTTCATGTTCTTTAATTGCGCCCTCTAGCACAGGCATGGGCAGCCTTCGGCGACAGCGGACCTGATTTACATGCGTATTTGAGCTCTCGGACCACATTTTAATAAAACTGTGGTAACAGTAACAGGCTTGTCCGTTCCACCATGCGTTTTGTGTCAAATTTGATGCAGTCAGATCATTAACAGTTATGGAATAGCTGTTGCTTTACAGTTTAGCACGTGCAGCTCATGTGTCTGTGTTTGGTCTTTTCTTGAATGCATAGGAAAAGGGCATCGGCTGGGACGGTAGTATTGCATAATGACTTTCATCGCTGCTGAGTTAAAAAGTTCACCCGCTTCTGGCAAATCCTCGCTCATTGTAAAAATGCAAACTTGAAGGAAGCCGGGAAAGGATTATGAAATCTTCAGTATGCACTCACTTTTTAGTTTGTGATAAAACTAAGTATTTCTCATATTCAGCTGCAGGGAATTTCAATTCCAAGCAGAACTAAAACCATTCATGGAAGTAGGATATCCCAGCGAAGTTTCAGCCTCGCACCTTATCCAGTAAAAAAATAGCCACTTCGCTACAAATATGTTTGAAGAGCCTTAAATCACGGGGCAAGTGCAAGTCGGAACTCGTTTTAAGTATACGATTTTCCATATGGGCGATAAATATTCTGACAAAATTTTAGCCACTGTTTTCAGGCTACTTTTCGAGCTAGCACAGTGCCAGCTGCGAAATTTGACGTGAGCGTACGCGGTAGTTGAATTTGAAATTTTTGGTGCATGCAAGCACGCTGAATATCGCTGCAAAGTTCCAGCTTTCTTTTTTGTCTGGTTCCCAAAATCTTTTCCGCTGAAGAAATTTGCATAATTTTTGGGTGGTACGTACGCGGGATCTAGGCGTGTATGAGCGATAACTTTAAAACGGGAGGGTAACACGTAGGGATATAATATGCCTCCAAAATTTCAGCGTTCCAGTTTTCCTGATTGCTTAATTGAAAATGGGTGACAAAGTTCACTCGCTTCCGAACACATAAATACACACGCACACACACATACGGACAACCTCTTGACAATATGCCTTTTTGCTCAGCTACAATAAATAACAACGCGCACCAGACTAGCCGGTGCGATCATGCGTTTAGTGCAATTCAGCCCATTATACGATTGAATATTAATGATTTTCACTGCGTTTTACTTTAGTCTATGCAAAAATAGTTGAAACATTGAAAAATATTCAGAAATTTCACGCGCATGCGCATGAAAGCTGAATTCGAAACATTGAAAAGTGAATATCTTTCCGTGATTTTCGGCTTAATAGTTTGCCTGCAAAAAATTTCACTAGCCCGTAGGTGATACCCGAGAGCGCGGAAACGCTGAATTTAAATGGGCAAGGTTGAGCGTGGGCAGGGGGGTCATTACCCTAAAATTTTAGCTTCCTAGATCCCGTGGTCCGCGAGATAATAATTTACCCGTCAAAAATTTTCACGGAGCCGTACTTGTTACCTGCGGGCTGGAGGAAGCTGAATTTAAATTTTCTGGGTAGAACATAGGCGGGGAACATGCGCACAGAATTTCAGCCTTCTACCTTCCGTGGTTCCTGAGATACTGATTTTACCCGAAAAACTTTTACGGGGCCATACGTGTTATCCGCGGGTATGGGGAGGCTGAATTTAAATTTGCCGCGTCACCCGTCGGCTGGGAACACTACACTAAAATTTGAGCCGCCTAGCTTTTGTGGTCCCCAAGTTGAAAGTGCGAGACAAAATGTGGGACACACACACAGACAGACAACCATGTGACAATATGCGTTTTGTACTGCTGTTACACAGTACAAAACGCATAAAAACACATAAAAAAGTAAACAACAGCAGATTAGTGTGAGCTCCGAACTTGAACTTTTACACGATTATTGAAATCTGGATTTATATCACTAATACAGAATTTCAGAGTATTTTCTAGATTGTCGTCTATTAGCTTTGTGCGTGTTTTAATTTTATCTATTTTTATGGGGGTGCAGAGACGTGACGGAATACAGACTCCCTGTTCATCTAGTTAAGTACCACGTGGGCCGCCGGTTGCTCACCTGTGGTCTAGCGTGTGAATCCGGGTTGTGAATCAAGCCACACCGAAATTCAACGGTTGGTCTTGGAAATCATATATCTAAATTGAATTTCAGTTTGCACGTGCACCACTCCGTTGGGCACTTCAAAGATATTTGCAGCGAGGTGGCTATTTCGCTTACCGAACTAGCTGAGCAGGATATTTTGTATTTACATGTGGTCTAAATTCCGCTTGGAGGTTAAATTCCTTGCACAGAGGCTTGACAAAAACTTAGTTCTGTCGCGGCCTCAAAAGCGAATACATTTTGCGGATATCGTAATCTTTCTCTGCTGACATTCTGTGCATTGTCAAATTTGCATTTTTCGATGGGCGATGCTCCCCAGATGCTAATCGTACAAAATTGTCAGTCATGTACGCTGCAGGTTCATACGGCCCCGTATTGCAAAACTGTCGTTTTAATCGATACCTTTTTCCTTCATGCAAGAAAAGGTCCAAACACTTCTAGTGTGAATCCACGTATTAAAACAACACAAAAACCGTTTACACTGTTAACGATCTGTTGCAGGTTTAGCGAAAGTGCGTAGTGCATCGCAGCCTGGGTTTGGACCTGTTTGGGAAATAGCCTTGCTTCTCCTCTTCTTTTCCTGTGTTCCCTTTCTGACGATATTATTGATAAAATCTTATCACTGCTGTTTTCCTTTTTAGTTGTGAATTGTTGCCATCCATTCACCTTACTTTTGGCATCAGTGAACAGTTTTAGTTCCCAGTGGTTCAGAAAGCTTCCCGTGTTTGTGTTCGTTTAGTGTGCTGTACATTGTGTTTCTGTCGCCTCCAAGCGAAAACAGCAGTTTGACCTTAATATCTTTATTCAATTTGCTTTTTACAGGGAAGGGGCTAAATCAGTTCATAATGTGCCCAGAAAATCAGTGAGCAAGCTAACCCAAAACACTCTT